GGCAGGAGCCTAAGCTTGGCATCTTCACTGCTTCCAGCATTATAGGGACTGGATCGAATGAAAGTGCCCTTGATCTCGCCCTTGGATGCGCTTCCAACGATGCTTCTTCTCACCAAGCTGTCCCAAATTCTTGTATTAGCAAGTTCTGCCACTCTGTAAAAGAATCTCTATCCACGTTTGAAATTTGGAAAGGACCGGTTTTTGAATCTTTTCCAGGAAAATGGACCATTACAGGAATTTTTTAGCTCCTTTATATTAGTAAATTCCCCCTGGCTTTTAATTTTGACCCCCTTGCCTTTTTTAGCCTTTTTTTTTTTGCACGGGGAAGTTTGGCCATGGAGAGGGACCCGGGAAAGGGCCCCCCTTCCCCGGGGGTACACCCCAAAATTGGGGTTGGGGCCGGAATATTTCGGACTTCCAAAGGCCGGGGGCACAGGGGTTCCCCCCGGTGTCTCATGGGGGGTACGGGGCCAACGACCCTGGGCTATCCCCCCCTCTTTCCCGGCCCAAGCAGAGAGCTCGGCCCTGAAAGAAGGCGCACCCGGAACGGATTCCAGCCCCCCACCCGGTTCAGAACCCAGGGTGCCTGCGCCGCAGGCGGAGGATTAGCCTAGTGAGCCACAGTGCCAGCCCCACATTTGCATTTTAAGATAAATATCACTTGATTATGGAATATAATATGCTGTTGGATTCAGTTCACTAGCATTTTGCTGCGAGTTTTGGCCTCTTGATTTCTGGGTGGGATTGGTCTCTACAGGTTGTGTGTGTGTGTGTGTGTGTGGCATCTTTGCCTAGTTTTGCTATCACAGCAATGCTGTGGCGTCATAGAATGAGGAAGTGTACCTTCTTCCGTTTTTTTGCAAGTTTGATAAGTATTGGTGCTCATTTTTCTTCAAATCTTTGGAGAGCTCACCAGTGAAACTGTTACAGGCCTATGTGTCTTGGTCTTTATTCAAGATTCTTGCCCCCACAGAGAGGAGAATTCAAAGCAGAGGCATCATACAGTGCTCAAGTGTGGTGGAATGAGAAGGCCATGCCAAGATGGCCGCTGGCAAGCTAGCATCAGTTACTCAGGAATGGCTTCGGAACCCACCTGGCAAAGGAGCCTGCCTGGCAACAGGCTGTGATTGGTTAGGGCATAAACCACCCCTTGACTGCATTGGCTGCCTCGGCTATATAAGCTGCAGCACCAACTGAAATATACAAGTCTGCAAGCTGCTCGCTGCAAGCCCACTTTAACATGACTCCCGGGGTCTGTGTGGTGACTCCGCGCCTCTTGCCCCCACCACGCTCCTCCTCTCAGAACAAGTCCACAGCAACACTCAAGTGAGGGCAGGACTTATTTGAAAGAGAGAGTGTCTATTCACGTGAATGTGGGCCACCCCAGGTGGAGAGATGCCCATCAGGAGTGGGCCAGAGACTGCCTATGCGGGGGAGCAGGAAGGTGCAAGAAGGAGCCCCACACATGGACAAGTGAGAGAAGGGCCATCCCCACGTTATCCGCCTCTTGTATGAGACAGGGGACGGAGCCTGAATCGAATGTACAAATAGGCGGGACCTGGGTGGAGTCTGGCATGAATGAGGCGTTCTAGGATTTCCACGGTGCCTCCACATGGAGTCTAATTTCCAGGTGGCCATCATGGACCCTTCTTCTTTCCTCGTCCTGAATGAGACGCAAGTGTATCGTGGGAAGATGGGTGTATTCAATTGACAGGTAAAGAGATAAAGTTGCAATGCAGGATTGACAAAAACTCAACTCACGTAAGTCCATGTGTCTCCCTGCCTGGTTCCCCCATATCAAAGGCAGGTTTTTGATTCCTCATTCAATCTGTTTTATTTTTATAGCTATTTTCAGATATTCTATTTCTTCTTGAGTCAGTTTTTGGCAATTTCGGTGCTTCTAGGAATTTGTTTATTTCACTCTGGTTATCTCACTTTCATCTGATTTTAGTAATTTGTACCTTCCCTCCTTTTTCTTATTGTAGCAAAGGTTTGTCAGTTGTTGATCTTTGAAAGAATCAAGTTTGGTTTCAGCATGCATTGCCTTTTAAATAGTAATATTTATGCCTCCGTGGCAGCACAAATGAGCTGTCCTCCCCACGCTTTTGTTTTCCCCACCTCTAAGTGCTATGGTTCCTGTAAAGCCAATATCAGTTGAGCACATCTCCAACCAGCCATGTTTGGCCAGGGCTCATCTCACTATCTCTATCACATGTCACCTACCCAGGATGAGGCCAGCTATGTCCACCAATCAGAATCTCCACACATCACACCCTGTGGGTTTCCTCTCATGCCACCTGTCCCTACCAGAAGCACAATATAGGTTTTTTGGTGTTTGCCAGAGCCCTGCACCCCTTCCTGGAGCACCTCAGAAGCCACAGTGATATGCAGAAACCTCATCCTGCGAATATTGACTCACACTCATTCTACTCACCAAGCCTTGGGCCAGGGGAGATACTGGTGTTGAAGGCAAGTCCCATTATGTCAGTCCCCAGAACCAGCACTAACCTGCTGTTGCCATGTCCTGGGGTCATCTATAAAGTACCATATCCTGGCTTACCCCCAGCCAAAGCCCTACAGCAGCCTACCTCTGAGATAACTCTGTTGAGATCTAAATCTAGCCAAGAGTAGTCCATAGTAGTAGGACTATGGGAAAACAGAATTACCTCCCTACTACAAGAATCAAATGAATCCTCTTGAGTCACTTGAAAGATCTGATAGCAAGTAAATGTGTTATAGATCTGACTTCATCTTTTTCCCCCACAAAGTTCATTTGGCCTGCAGGTATAGAACTATGTGATCTGCTACCTTTATGCTCTAAAAAGACTCAATTTACCATCTTGGTGCTCTTCTCATTGCCATTTTCAATCACACACTCTTGTCTGCTCTGGGTTCATCTGTAGACTCTGGTGAACTTAGACGATGCGGGGAGAATTCATGTTTGAACTCTACTACGTGACATTTCCTTTCTAAGAATCATTTGAAGTTGCTGGTGTTTCTTGCTGTGACTTTATGCCCTGTTATGTTACCGTGTCACTTAGGAGACAATTGATGGAAATGGTTTGAGTTATTTTCATTATGACGACATGACCAGAACAAGTAGGAACGTAACAACTGCCTTTTCTCTAGGTATTACATCGGTCCTGAAATGGTTGAGCCAAAAATGAAGATGTAAAATCCTAGAACTCATGAATCTATTTTAGTAGGTCACAGGAAGCATGCAAACCATGGAAACCACAACAAACCACGAGCATCTGGGTTGAAAAGAGGCCAGCATTTCTCTCTGCTCTAAAGGTGCCTGCTGAACACAGCCATTGTCAATGATTAGGGAAGTCGCAGGGACACCATCGAAGTTCCTTCAGGCTGCTCCTGTTCCCTTGCCCCACGAGTAGCTCTCTCTAGCCATTCCCCACATTTCCATTTGATTGAGTCTTGCCACCTCTGGAGCGGCAGAGAACAAAACTAACCTTCAGCTCCAACAGTGTAGCCCCGCATCAGCTGCCGACCTGCAGCATCTGCAACTCCTCCAAGCCAGTGCCGCTCTGGCTCCTCTCCTGGTGTTCAGGGAGCGGAAGTTGTTTTCATTCCATTGGTTGGCAGAAGAATTCAGCTTCTCATTCCTGCTCCAGGTCACTTCGAGATGGTCACAGCCCCACCCCCCAGGGGGTTACTGCGTGGTCAGTGGGCACACCAGTCCTTTCTGTCGAATCTGCTGGGAAGACATACGGTACTCATCTTCCAGACTGGGAAAATCCTATAAATCGTGAACCTGGTGCCAAGAGATTGATACGAATTCATGTAAAACACCCTTCCCAGTTCTCTCCATGTGCATAAAGTATTGATTCTAAGCTGTACTATTGAAGCTCCCAATTTTCCAGCTATCCGTATGCACCAGAGGAGAAGAAAGCAGTGAGGAGGAGAACCTGTTAGACCTGATAGTTGCGCTGTTATCAGCCTTACTCCACAGATCCACTTGGAGCCCAGGAAGCTGACATCTCCAGGCTGCTGTGCCCGAATGCCCATCTGCTCCCTGTTCCCATGAAGTTCAGCCACTGGGAGGCATTGACCCTGGCAGGAGATCCCAGTGTGGGAGCACGAAGTTAGGGGACATCGTGACCCTGATGCCCTCCTGCTTTGCCAAAGTTCTAGTGCTAGCTGTGTCCTTCAAATTCGAGCTCTCAATAGTGCCTGGGTGATACTGTCTACTCCATTGAGCCTTCAACCTATAGGGAAGAAAAATAATTTTTTCCCTTAACCCTTATGTATTCTTAGTTGGAATGGACCCATTTAACAAAACAACAGATTAACATGAGAAAAAAAATTACTAATACATGTATCTCATATACTTATACATATGACCTGCCTAGGGTATCAGTAGTTTTCAAAGGGGGCAGCAGTTTATACAGCACCTTCAACAAAGAACAGTATAATTTTATGGGAGAGACCAAGGCAAAGGAAAGAGGCTTTGAGTCTCTAGGGGCAGCAACTTGTGGGAAGGCAAAACAAATGGTCACTAAAGATCCCTCAGCAAGTTTAATTTGGAGTCGTCTGTATCACCTTCAGTTCAACAAGGATCTACAGTTGTGATGTCCATTGAAGCCCTATGGACCACAGAGAACATGCTACTTATGTTTTAAAGTTGCAGAAGTCAAAGCTTAGAAGCTGGTCAAGGCCACAGCATCAGATCATAGCTCTAAGGTCTGCCGAGTACTAGAAGCTTCCAAGGGTCAACTCGGATGATCTTATAATTTGTACAGAACCTTAAAAGTGTCCTAGGTATGGTACAGAATTTGTATTTTCCTTGAACAAAACTGCTTTCCCTTCAGCAGGACTTATGGTAACTGAAACCCTCCTTTCTAGAAACAGGCTTGATCCAAAAGACCAATTAGTGTCCTCTTTCCACCAAAAAGTTTTTTCTCAATAAAATTTCGAACCAGATCCCAGATCTGCAGCACCACCGAAACCAGCGCACGCAGTCACAGTGAAACCCCCTCTTATCTCCTCCAGCATCACCGGCATCCCCTGTTCACGGTTATCCTCTGGAAAATGAAAAGGTGGTTGTTGTGCTCACAGCATGCAAATGATCTCTAGCAGGAAGGCAGAGCATGGAAGAGCTCAAACAGCCCAGAGCCGTTAGACACATGGGCAGATGTGCACGGACTGCCTGACTCACACTCAAGGTTGCACAAGCAAGATTTCAAAATAAATCCTGCTCTGAAGACCTCAACCCAGGGGACAACGTTCCTGGCTGGAAAAGAAGAACTATATGTTTCTGATTTTTTTTTCAGATCTTTACCATTGCTTGCCCTTGTATCCCCGCCTTCTCTTTGTGGAGGAAACTTTATTTCCTACTTCTGCACACCAAACCTCTACCTCCAGATCTGCCCGATTCGGTTGCTGAGAAGCCTGACACGCCCGTGTCGCCTGGGAGAAGCCATCCACCGGTGAGTTGTGGGCATTTTTTCCCATGACTTCATGACTCATGGGCTCAGATCAGCTCAAAGCTGGAAATGTAGGGCCCAGGCAAACCTCGAGGGGCTGCAAAGGCTGTGTACTTGGGGGCAATAATCAAGATGAGAGGGGATGGGTGGAGGATGGCATGTGCACAGGAGATGTGAGAAAGACCCCATGACAATGAGGAAGTGCTGCATGTGGCAGCATGAGACCTCCCTTCAGAGTCAGGTGGTAGGAGAGAGGGGACAGCTGACCAAGGAGGACAGCACTCTGAGCCATTGTCCCTCCATGCGCCCTAGGGCTCACTGTCCCCAGGGGCACCCAGGGGCTGTGAAGGAGCCAGAGCTATCTCCCTTGTAATCTTTTCTCCTGTAGTCCCTTTGTGGGACAGTCAGGACGCTGCAGCCACTTAGCTGATGGTGCACTGTAACAGGAGTTAGATGCCAGCCACTTGTAGGGTTTAAGGTGATTGCTGTATACAAGGTGTTCGACGCAGTGCCTGGAGCTTTAAGAATACACAGCGCATGCTCACAGTGGTAATTCTCAGACAGTGCAGGATTTTGCCAAGTGCAAGGATTTTGTGAGTGTAAGATCTGGGAAATGGATCGATCACAAGACAAATGGAAAGATGAGGTGCACAGATGAAAGAAAAACTCAGTCACTACCAGAAAAGGTAATCCCTGAGAAGCCAGCCCGAGAATGCCAAGACTTCCGACTTATGATTAAAGAGAGCTATGCCCCCAACCTGTGAACATTTACTGGTGCCTCCTTTAGCCAGATGGAGCCATAGGAGCTGGAGCTCCAGCCCTTGACCTTGAGGAGAGCACAGGACTAACGTCTGTGCAGACGCAAGCAGTGTTCCGAGATAAAAGCGACTTGGAAGAGGATGCAGGTCAGGCTTTACAGAGAGGGAGAGAACTTAACAGGAGGTGGCAAAGCAGGAAAAGCAGGAATAGGAAGGCAGAGAGACCAGCATCTGCAGACCCGCTGAGGCGAGCAGGAACCAGTGAGTCTGGGGAAAATGGAAAGCAGATGCGGGGCTGAAGCGCAGGATCCGAGCAGCGGAGAAGAGGCGAGACGAGAGTTCAGGCGGCAGGGTGGGCGGGCCGGGCATGGCCTTGGAGCTCCCACCACCTGGGAAGGGGCTTCAAAGAATTTATTAGAAAATGGAACTAAAAGTCAAGTGAAGGGAGGGTGTTTAGCCTAGCAGCTAGAAACCCATGTTCCATGTCAAAGTGCCTGGCTTCAATGCCTGGCTTTGACTCCTGATTCCAGCTTCCTGCTCACAGCCCCTGGGAAGTAGCAGAGATGGCTCAAGAAACTGGGCTCCTGCCACCCACTTGGGAGGCCTGGATTGAGTTCCTGGTTTCTGGCTTTGACCTGGCCCAGTTCCAGCCTTTGTAGATAGTTGAAGAGTGATTCAACAGATTTCTCTCTTTCTCTCTCTTTCTTCCCAAGTGAAAATTTAAAAAAAAAAAAAAAGAGAGAGAGATGTTAATTTGGTGCAGAAAATTTAAAATCCATGCATAGTATTTTGATAATACATCTTTCCCATGAAGCTTTTTAAACTCCTCATATGGAATGTTTTTCACCTTTTCACACTGGGCACTGCCCCCAGCCAGATTCTGAGTCTGTTCCCAGGGGTCTACACAGCAGCTCAGCAGAGTTAACACTGCATAGACTCATCATGCAGAAGCAGTTGGCCCCAAACTAGACAGCTTGTATGTTGGAGGCAGGATTTGAACCCAGGTCTGTTTGACTGCAGAGGCTGGATCCTACTTTTCTGAAGAGGACGGGACCCAGAATAATGTCAAAGCTTGAGGTTTAGGCAATGGAGTATATGACAATAACTAAGATTTGGGTACCCCAAGCTGGAGCAGGTTTCAGGGGCTGCTTGGTATGGGCTGGGCTAAAGTTAGAGCATCTGCATGACACCTGTTCCCTCTCTGCTCCATCTTCAGTGCATAAAACCGAGTGTGGCTCATAGCAGGTGCTCAGTAAGTACTGCCATGTGAATGAACCCATGGAGAGGCATACAGTAGGCAAGGAAAAATCCCACTGAGGTTTAGGCGAAAGGTGGAACAGAACAACAGAGCTTGGGGAAGCATTAGCGCAGAGGGGAGTCAGAAAGCGGAGGTAGACAACACGACTCTGGAAGAGCTCTGGCACAGGCATAAACAGGGAAGGGAGAAGACAGGTGAGACCCGAGCGTGCAGCCTGGAGACTCCCCCGGTGTGGGCAGTGAGAGGAGCTGCGAAAGAGCACATGGGCGCCAAGAAGCAGCTTCAATGGGAGAAGGTAGCAGAAACGTCGAGTAAGTGCTCAAGGAGGGTGGCACCGGAACAAGGTTAGGTTATTGAACGTTGACCTGTCAGTGCAACCCTGGCAGGAGATGCCTGGGTGGGATGAGGGAGGCAGAATGTGGAAATGGTTCTCAGAATGTTTTGGGCTGCAAGTAACAGAAAGCCAGAGTCATAATGGTTTTAAAGCAAGGGCTTGTTTTTCTCAAGTAACGGTAAACCAGATGGGCAGTTCAAGCATGCTATGTGGGCTCCTCCTGCCTCTGTCCAGTTCTCTGGGGCTTCCATTCACGGCCCTAAGCACCAGCCCACTTGAGAGAGGCTGGAAAGCAGGAGGGGCAGGCGGGCTCCTTTGTGTGTCTCTTCTCAGGGAACAGCCTGCCCAGAGGCCCCCGGAAGTCCTCTGTTCCATAGTACGGACCAGGAACGGGTCACAGACCCATGTTCCACCTGCAACAGAGGCCGAGGGGGCTAGCACCTGGCAGCCTCAGCCTTCCTGGGGGAACCGTGCGGTGGCACTGGCGACTGCTCCCAGGAATAAACGGCAAGCGATGAACTAGCATACGTGCTCCCAGGGAGATGGCTGTGAGGGAGGGATCAGAGACAAGCAAGGACCTTGTGAGGGTCCGGGGTGGTGCTGTTCACGGTATGGTCACTGTGTTCTTCTCTATTTACAGAACAGGCAGCTGGCGGGCATGCACCCGGCTCCCCAGCTCACCCACAACATGCTGTCCACGTCTCACTCCCTGCTGACGAGAAGCGACCTCAGCAGCCCCGAGGAAGCCACCACCGTGTTCGACTACGACAGCGAGCCCTGTCACAAGACCGACGTGAAGCAGGTGGCAGCCCAGCTCCTGCCCCCACTGTACTCGCTCGTGTTCGTCTGCGGCTTCGTGGGCAACCTGCTGGTCGTCCTCATCCTGATCAACTGCAAGAAGCTGAAGAGCATGACTGACATCTACCTGCTCAACCTGGCCATCTCCGACCTGCTCTTCCTGCTCACCCTCCCGCTGTGGGCTCACTACGCCGCTGCCGAGTGGGTCTTCGGAAGTGCTATGTGCAAGCTGTCCACGGGGATGTATCACATGGGCTATTTCGGTGGAATCTTCTTCATCATCCTCCTGACCATCGACCGGTACCTGGCTATCGTCCACGCCGTGTTTGCCTTAAAAGCCAGGACGGTCACCTTTGGGGTGGTGACAAGCGGGGTCACCTGGGTGGCGGCCATATTTGCCTCGGTCCCGGGAATCTTGTTTACCAGGTTCCAAGAAGAAGATTCTCGTTACACCTGTGGCCCCGATTTTCCACTCAGCTGGAAGAATTTCCACACCATCATGAGGAATATCTTGAGCCTGGTCCTGCCGCTGCTGGTCATGGTCGTGTGCTACTCGGGGATCCTGAAAACCCTGCTGCGGTGTCGGAACGAGAAGAGGAGGCACAGGGCTGTGCGGCTCATCTTCGCCATCATGGTGGTTTACTTCCTCTTCTGGGCACCCTACAACGTCGTCCTCCTCCTGAACACCTTCCAGGAGTTCTTCGGCCTGAATAACTGTGAAAGCAGCGGTCAGCTGGACCGAGCCATGCAGGTGACGGAGACGCTGGGCATGACACACTGCTGCATCAACCCCGTGGTCTACGCCTTCGTCGGGGAGAAGTTCCGGAGCTACCTCTCCGCGTTTTTCCGGAAGCACGTCGCCAAACGCCTCTGCAAACAATGTCCGGTTTTCTACAGGGAGGCAGCAGATCGAGTGAGTTCAACGTACACCCACTCCACTGGGGACCAGGAAATCTCTGCTGGTCTGTAGGGTGGACAGCCGTCGGCTTGCCCTGTTCAAGGAAGGTAGCAATCTGTACATAGTGACAAGCCTCGAGGGCTTGTTGAAGAATACAGACCTGTAAAGTAGGTACGCAGGAACCTCAGGGCTGTGTGCACCAAGACAGACTCGTGTCACTCCCCGTGCATCCAGCATGTGCTCAAGGAACAGTCTAGAACGACTGTGGGCGGAGACGCTGACTCTCCAGCAAGCTCATCTCGGTTCCTGGAAGATGCCTCCCTGCCTAGTGTTCATGCCCCCTTTCCAGTCTGTGCTATTCCCCCAGTCTCTGATTCTACCAATCTTTTATAACCACAACAAGAACAAGAGGAAAATCAGAGTGAGGGCTCTGGGGCGTGTCCTCAGGGCGGAGGCGGAGCCTGGAGAAAAGGTGACAGAGTCCCCTGCTTTGAAAATCGCACTCCCAGCCTGTGACTCCCGGTGTCTAAATGACCAGGCAGAGCGGGGCTTGGCGAGGAAGATTCTAGATGGGCTGGAAAAATTTTTTTCCAATAACGTACCTCCCAGCACCTCACTTTTGGATGAAAGCATGGCACTCAGACTTTTGGATGAAAGCATGGCCGGCTCTGCCTCTGACTCCAGTTTCCTGCTAACGCAGACCTTGGGAGGCAGCAGATGATGGCGCAAGTGCTTTCCTATGCTACGGAGCCAGGACTGAATCATCCTTTCATGTTCGGGTGCTTTGCGGGCATCGCTGTGCACAAATCGACCCCATTCAGCCGGCGGGGAATTCCAAATCAAGCCAGCTCCTAATCACCTAGGTCAAGGCCTACCTGTAAGAAGGGAAGTTGGAGAGCCTCACTCAAGAACGCAAACGCTTTCCTCTTATTGAGGCCAGCCAAGAAGTTTCCTGCAGGCTACCCAGCGCATTCCCAGCCCAACCCAAGCAGCAAACACCCGGCTCCTGGCCGCCAGTGGCTCAGGAACTTGAAGTCACTATGGCTCTACTTTCTTGCCACCTGGCTAGAGAAAGTTTCAGAAAAAAAGGCGGGTAGGGGGCGGGTAGGGGGCGGGTCCACCCTCGGATGTTTGTATTATCCTGATGAACGTGTACGATTGCATTTCGATCATGAGGCCATGTAAATACTGTATTAACAAACTATGACTTGGAAAGCAAATCCAGGCTCTAATCACACTGTTAAAAATTTTGACTGTGGTGTGGTAGACTGTGTTTTGTTCACAACTTTTCACTCCATCTCCTGTACGATCGATCTCACACACATACCCTACCCTTGTGGCGCCACCTCCCACCGCACCCCAGCCACAGCTGACGGGGCTGCGGGGATGTGAGCCCAAGGGACAACCACCCCATCCACCCGGAGCCTGACTCGTGGCTGTGCTAAACCACTCTCCTGGGCCACAGGGAGGTGCTGCAGTTGGCTCACAGCCCTTGACTCTTGTGCCCTGGTGAGCAGCAGCACAGAGAGCAAAGCCAGGGCCGCAGCCATGCCTGAGAGGGGGCGGAAGGCTACCTTGGCCATGGTGAGCCACGGAGTTTGGGGTTTACTTGTTACACAGCACAAAAGGTGATCGATACATAAGCAGCTTCATGAGTAACATTTGGGAAAGCTGGTGAGCACCCCTGTGCCAGGCTCCATTGGGAATATAAAGACACAGGTTAATGCCCTGCCCTGGAGATCCAGGGGCCCAGGTCTAGGGCCAGAGTGGAGGATCATGGGAGCAGTCATGCTGCCTTGCACCCGGCCCCAGGGGTATACAGGTCAGTGTGAGATGTCCTAGAATCCAGGGAATCGAGTGATAACCAGTGATGGTCCCACGTCATGCAACAGCCAGAGCCACCAAAGAAACTACCATTTAAATGATGCCAACTGGAAAGAAAATGGTTAAAAGTTGCTACTGGGTCAGTTGTTTGGCCTAGTGGTTAAGACACAATTTGGAATGGCTCCTGGCTTCAGCCTGGTCCAGCCCGAGGCAATGTAGCCATTTGGGGAGTGAGCCAGTAGATGGAATGTTTCTCCCTCTGTCTCTCCTTCTCTCTCTCGGCCTTTCAAACAAATAAACAAATCTTTAAAAAAAAAAAAAAAAGATACCACTTGGGACATCTGCACCCAACCCCCATCAGAGTATCTGGGTTTGAGTTCCGGGTCCTGTCCTGATTCCTGCCAATATACACACTGGGATGCAGCCGCCACGACCCGTGTAGTTGGGTGCCTGCCATGCACGTGGGGGATCCTGCCAAGTTCCCCATTCCCAGCTTAAGCCTGGCCCATCTCCAGCTATTTGGAGAAAGAACCAGCTGGTAGAAGCTCACTCGCCCTCCCTCCCTCACTCACTCTCTAATAAAAAATGAATTGGCCCGGCGCCGCAGCTCAATAGGCTAATCTTCCGCCTTGCGGCACCAGCACCCCGGGTTCTAGTCCCCGTTGGGGCACCGGATTCTGTCCTGGTTGCCCCTCTTCCAGGCCAGCTCTCTGCTGTGGCCAGGAAGTGCAGTGGAGGATGGCCCAAGTGCTTGGGCCCTACACCCCATGGGAGACCAGGAGAAGCACCTGGCTCCTGCCTTCAGATCAGCGCGGTGCGCCAGCCGCAGCACGCCGGCCGCGGCGGCCTTTGGAGGGTGAACCAATGGCAAAGGAAGACCTTTCTCTCTGTCTCTCTCTCTCTCACTGTCCACTCTGCCTGTCAAAAAAAATAATAATAATAATAATTAAGTTTCCAGCTGTCTGCATTGCCAGACCTGGATCCTCAGACACCCAAGTCATTCTGGGGAGAACACACAAGAGAGCTGTGTGTTGTGCAGACACAAGGGAAGGAAAGGTGGGCATCCCAGGGGATGGCAACTTCCGGCTTTTGTGCTGGAGTTGGGGGCTTGACACCGCCTGCTCCATGTCACACCCCTGAGCCGTGAGGCCCAGAGCTCCGGGGAAGGCCCTGCAGCCCCTGGGGTAAACCATCAAGGCCCCAGCCTTCCTCTTTTGCTTTTGCTCATTGTTAAAACTTCCCTGACAAACAAATAGCCTGGGGTGAGATGAGCCCGCAGGAAATGTCAACCAGTGCCACCCAAGGGACATATACTGCAAGAGGACTCTGATGAGCGAGCGAGCCGACCTGGGCAGTGCAGCTCTGGAACCCGAGAAGCAGACGGGGCCGGGCGTGGGGAGGGATGCGGGATGCAGGGTGGAGGATGGAGATTCCTTCAGACAAGGCCGTGGTCACGCACCACTGCTGCACGTGTGTAAGCGGGGAGTCGTGAAAGGCGTGGTCTGTAGCCTTGGTGGTCCAGCCCTGGGGCAGGCGAGATCCAAGCCTCCAAGGATTGTGTGGGGAAGGGGCTCCCCCCACCCCACCCCAAGAAGCTCTGCTGGCTCAGCAGCCTGGCTAGTCAGGGCAGGGCACTGGACACCGTCTTGCTTTGTCCTATGCCTGTAAATGTCCTCATGCAACCAGCGCACAACATGAAGGCACTTCACTTCTCTCCACGGTGCCTTCTGGGCCTTAGGGTCACCTGGGTTCTGGAGGACTCTGCCTGCTCCTGCCCGGCCCGTGGCTCACGGACTGCCTCCGGGAGACCTCCCGGGCTTCCCTCTTCTGTGTGGGGGCTGACAAAGGAGGGCTAGGGTAAAGGGCACTGCATCTGAATCTCACCGCCCCTGCCACAATCCATTCCTGTTGGCCGACACGCCCCAGAGTGGCAGGTGCCTGTGTGTGTTCCCTACAGAGGGCCAGGAGGGGCCCCCTGTAGTAGTGCAGCTCCCCACTGCCACTTCCTGGACGTGCCAGAGTTCATTCGAGTGGAATTCTCTCATTTCGCACCATTTCCCGAGCACTGGGCTCCCTTCACGCAGCCAGTGGGGTCCTACGCGTGGTTCTAGCCAAGTCTCCTCCTGTGGGAGCCGCAGGGCCCCAGAGCACGGTATCCTTGGTTACGTCCTTGCTATCTCAATGCCGCACTTGTTTCCACCCACCACCCCCTCCCAACCCTCCCCACCCCTCCCGCAGCTGGCTCCCGGGGCCCCGCCCCTGGCGTCCCCACCTTCCCCTTTGAAGATCCACTTCCTCCCTCACATCACTCAGAGCCTCTCCCCAGGCTTTGAGGAGACAAACCCCACTCTGCCCTCAGCGACCCCAGCCCTTCCACCATCCTTCCCTGCCCCTAGCTGGCTCCTTGCAGACAGACCAGGGTTTGAAGAGAATAGGTGGGGCCACAGGGCGGCTTCTGTCTCCTCCTAGTGAGCCCTGCGGGGCGTCTGAGCCCAGGTGTGGGTGGTTTCCTCTAGGACGGGGCAGGGAGGGGTTGAGTACTAACACTTCTTTGCCCTCAGTCTTACGCCAGAGTTGCCAGTTCTGGGGCAACCGGAAACACCCTAATACCCTGTAATGCACAGAGTTGAACATAGAGCTGAAGAAGGTCTGACCTCTTGAGAACACAGTGGGTATTCTGTGCATCTTCAATGATAAAAATGAGACTTTTGCCCCTGTGTTAACCCCCTGATCTGAGGGAAGCACCCCAGACGTCCCGGCTGAGGGCAAGGCTTCCATGCTGTGCAGACATGGCCAGAGGGACAGCCTGCTGGTGACCCTGTGGTCAAGGATCTGCTCAGGGCACATTCGAGTTGTGCTACTACAGACACCTGGGGTGGGAAAACTTGCTTCGTTCAAACAGGCTCCAGAGACAGTGGAGGATCAAAGCAGTTGATGAACGCCAGCGGGCTCAGCTGGAATCGTTTCCTGAGGACTCAGCAACAAGTTTCGTATAGTATTTACAAGTTCATCAGCATCGTGCCTCAGCTGTTACAGCATAGGTGGGTTTAAATTGCAGCCTGCATGACTTGGAACCACACTTTCAGCCCTACAGCCCACGGCCGGCCACTCCCTCCTCCGCACCCCACACAGGTTTCCCTGAGCAGCCGCAGCTGTGGCAATGGCCACATAGATGGGGAGTGGCCTCTGGCAGCTAGGTTACGAAGCTGGCCCTTCACTTTACAGACTCTAAGTTAAACCAAAAAGTGACTTTGGAGGATCCACCTTAGAGGCCATAATGATAAAGCTCTGATTACCCATTGTTACCTCCTGGGATTTGTTAAACCCAGAAACAAAACAAGCCTGGCATATTATGTTAGGTAGGAAGTCAGTTATGAGCTTATGTGTGTGTGACATAAAGGCCTAAAGAGAAGACATCTATGTCCAGCATATGCATCTGCATCTCAAAGTCATCTTGACAATGTTTCACGGGCAGCCCAGTCTTCGAATCCTGCCCTGCCCCCTTCTACCTGACAACCTGCCAGGTGGAGGTCCCTGCCCCTTCTGCCTGACAAATCTTCCACAATCTCCCAGATGCAGCCCAGTATCTGCATTTCAGACACCCTGCTCCGGATCCCCATTCTCTAGGGGGTCCTGCTTACCCTTCCTCTGAACCCAGGATGGCGCCAGCTAGGCTTCCTCCTGTCTGATACCTTCAAGGGAAAACTCAGATAGGAGCTTCTTAATATTTACAGCCATAAAATCCTTTGTTTCAGGAGGAGATGTGTGAAGACAAAGACCCATCTCCTTAAAAACCCCCGGCCTCAACCGGACTGTGCGCTCAGCCCTCTGCCTCTCTGCTGAGCCGCCCGCCTGGTCTGGCCAGGTGTAATCTCTCCACTCAACCATGTAACCTCACTCCTTCCTCCCCTCCCTGCCCCCAGTCCGAGCGACTGCACTCTTTCCCGGGTCCTGTCTGGAGAGGTGCCCATCCATCCTTACGGATGGTGTCCCTTCCCTAATATACCTTGCTATTTTACCTCCCACTACTCTCTGTCTCACGCCTGAATTCTTTCTTGCACAAAGACAAGAACCCTGTAATTTCTGCGGTAACAATTACACCACAAAAAAAGCTTTTCTTTTAAAGCATCGATCTTCTTAGATGTAAAAGAGAACTTTTTTTAAACTCAATGTCCAGTTCCATTTTACCCAGTTATCACCAAAGGTAACTCGGGCCTTTTCATGCAAGAGACTGTTGCTTGTCAAGTATGTCTCCCTAGGATGGCCCAGGTCCTTGGGCTCTGTACCCGCATGGGAGACCAGGAGGAAGCACCTGGCTCCTGGCTTCGGATTGGCAGTGCACCATTTTGGTGTAGCGGATATTTGGGGGGTGAACCAACAGAAGGAAGACCTTTCTCTCTGTCTCTAACTCTGCCTGTCAAAAAA